AGAATGGAAGAATTCATCAGAAAACACCAAGTTAACCATGTCATTTCCTGAGAAAGGATGAATGATACAGGAGATATAGGGGAGGAGAAAAAAAAGTTCCTTCTTTCATTCGCATGGACAGCAACAGATTTCTGGAAGAGAGTTGATACAATGAATAATTCATGCAAGTTAAGTACTACAACCAGTAAGTGCTATCTGCTTCTAATAATGTGAAATATGAATAACATCTAATAACACAGAATCAAGAATGCTGTTTGCTTGTTTGATCCCAATTGAGATCAGGTTCTATTTCCTAAGATACACAGAGGAGCAAATAAGTCATTCATTAAAGTTATGTAAGAAAATAGACTGATCCATTTTGTGGCAATTAAGTCTCACAATGATTTTAAGAATGATATTTTGTGTACAAAACAAACTAAGAGAGGCAGCAGGACGATAGGTTTTCTGCCCTATTACATAACATTTTTATTTGTCATACTTAAAGCTAAACTTGTACAAGGTTGAACATTTCGCACTGAAAGAACTGTTCACTAGCTTAAAAAGAAATGAACAAAACACATCAGAAACATTAGTTAAAATTAAAGTCCCTTCTGTGATTTTTATGTAGCCAGTATCAATGCATCAGCTCAGAACTTTTGACAGATATGAGGAAGTCTTTACAATTCAAATACAGACAGACCACAGTGCCCCCTTTTGGACCACCTGTGAGTGGTACTAAGTTTCTATCATATTAATCTCAAACGCAAAAATTAAATTTCACAACATAGAAATGTGAAACTACAACCATTAGTAAAGAATTAGATCTTTAAATGGTAAAGAGAAATTAGACCAAAACTACACACACACATATATATAGCTAAAGACATACAGGCAAACATACATGACTGTAATAATAATAAAAAAAATTCACATTTTTACATAGAAGAAATGTTACATTCCAACCTACCAGTATGGCTTTTTCCATGAATAAATGGGTATTTTCAGGTAAAACAAAACAAAATAAAAAAAAATCCAGGAAACTAAAACACTCCAACTTAGTAGTTGGAAAAGAAAAACAAAGAGAGTTTAGTTGTGTTAGGGAGGACCAGTAACAAGAAATGAAGATGAAATTTAAGTGAAGTTTATAACATCAAGATAGACACCGTCATCATTTTTGTTTTGGAAGACATTTCACCTCTGCTTTTATCGTCATAACTGTGGCAGCACGTTTCACCAGTGAACTCTAAACCCTTTAGAATATTGAAAATAACGTGTCATTTTGTTTCTCCTCTAATTCAATAGACTGAAATGCATCTGAGGAACAAAGCAAAACTAAATTTTGAAGGCTAAAGAAAGCATTTAGCTGAACTTGATTTTGACTTGCAGACATGCACAAGATTAAAAAATAAAAATAACTAGGTTTTGGCACTTATCCACAGTAAACTGTAAGGTGGTTTAGTAACAGACAGCTAATAGAAGTGACCAGCTCACAATGAAACTGTACAAGCCATTAGTTCACATTTAAACAATAAATCTGATTGCAGTTTTGAGCACAAAAACATAACTTAAAATCCTTTTCAAAATTGAAAAACCATATTGATTTTAAGTAGTTTAAATACATTCATTCCCAGTCAAAGTTTTACAGTAACTGATGATTTTCAATCACACACACAACCAAGTCATAAATCCCTGAAACATGGATTTATTATAGGAATACTGATAAAACCTTAACAGAGATACAAATGATACATCACATAGTGTCCTATACCTTAACAGTAAGTACTTGGCCACCTTGGATCAGTGGATGCCTCACTCCTACTGTTAAGACACTAATATCATCCTTTAAGACCAACTGCTTTAAATTGAATTCACAACAGTTTGCAATTACCTTAAAAAAAAAAATCACACTATAAAATGTTCAACTTCTAACCTGTACTTCAAAACTTCTGGAAAGAGAATTTCCCAATATAACAGGGACTAAACATACATAGGCAGGGAGAGCCATTGCAGTGAATTTTACGGAATCATTTCAGAACCAGTGCCCTTGCAGTGAGTTAGTATACAGCAGTACTTTCCTTGATGGAAGTTATTTGGTGCATCTTTATCCTGTGCATTTTATGACCTTACTCTACCAGAGTCCTGAAGTTACTCTCATTCTGGCACTGATTTTCCTGTAGACTTATAGGGCAATTTCCAAATGAAAGGCACTCTTGTTAAGGGTGAAATCAGAATCATCAGCAATGCAAATGGATAACTTGTAACACACTTGAGAACTGCTGCAGTTGACATGAGGTCTAAAATTAAGTACTTAGAAAGGTTGAAGAAAGATTTAGTGCTTGCACTTGCATGCACATAGATACTAGCCATTGTACAAGCACAGCTATCTCAAAGTTTCTCAGCCGATTTCTGTTTCGTTTTTTTTTTTTTTTTACCACTAAGGCAAAACCAAACTTCCAATGTTCAACTGCACTATCCAGTGACTTGCAAACTGCCCATGGATCACCACTGACTGGCATTACCTCCTGCACCCTGAACAGTGAGTTACTCTGCAGAGTAGCAAAGTATTTCTCTCTAGTAGGGCAAGAACCTGAACAGACACTGCCATATCCCACTTTCCTATTATTTTTTCCTTCCTCTTTTTCCTCACCTCTCCTTTTTCCTCACTGTGAAGTGATTACTGATCTTGGGGCTGAAGCTTTCCTTAAGTACAGGAAAACTCATTTTTGTTAGTCTGAATAATAGATGTGCAAAACAGAAGTCATTTCCCTGAGGCAAAGATCTTCAAGTCATGCCTAGCTTATATTGTCTATTTTTTTTTCCAAGCTATTGAAACATTTGGCACACCAAGGCCTTGATAAATGACTGGAGTCTCATCTCATTATCACAGTCCAATTAATACAACAGTGTAATAAAGAAAGACTTACAAATGCTTGCTTTATTTTTCCCCCTCATTAAAATCTTTCCTCCTCAAGAGCAGCATTTAGCCTCTTGAGCAGGAAGGTAGAGAATAAGCTTGTACTGCGTTTAAAGGTTGCCACCAGTATTGGGTACATAAAAGGGCAACCACAGCAGTTATTTCACTCAATACATGAGTAACTCGGTTAAAATATATAGCCTGTTATACACGGGACAAATGTGTACGACTTGTCTCTTCTGGCCTTAAATAATACAATACTTCCAGGGCGATTAAAAATAAAACAATAAATCATGCTGTGAATACTTCCAGTCTAAAACACTTAAGTAAATCTAGCCTTGAAACCAAGCTTTTACAGCTTTCCCTTTCAAAGTATAAATTGCACTTTTTATACAAAGCAATCCAAAGTCTAAAGTGTAGTAAGAATTTGAAGCTGCCTTACTGTACCAGCGTATTTATGTTAATCATCTGAAGTACAGGCAATTAGTTTTCAGTCACACTGCATATGCAGCCATACACCTTATACCTTTCCACTTGAACAGGCTCTGCCATCAAATGCTATGCCACTGGGTGGGTACTGAAGGAAAAGAATTTAAGGCCTTTATCTCCACAAGGAGCTGAAAAACGTGGCATACTCCATGACCAATGCTCAGTATGCAGATTAGCAGGTCCCCACCCAGGGCTCAAAAATCAGTCATTCTTTCTAATATTTTTCGCACAAGACAGTCATACCATCAGCAAGCAACAGTGCCAGTTAAGCATTTTAAGGTCTCAAAAATTCCTAGCAAAGGGCACTTCTGAGAAAGATAATCTTAAAGATTTGGTTTTAAAAATAGACACCACACTCACATTCAAGGGACATTCTTCACTTTTAGGCCTTTGTCACAAATCTGAATCTTTATTGTTCTGAAATAAATGCTATAAACATAAGACTCAAAACAAAAACTCCAACTTTCAGTCTCAGAAGAGGTGTGGTTCAATGCCCATATCACATGTAACAAGAAAATTCCTTAGAAAAGGAAAAAAATTACTGTAAAGTCTTTCATAAGAATGAAAATGCAATCCTTTGTTTTTCTCATTAGTTTGTATAGAGGTGGGCATCAAAAAACTTTTGCATTTTCTTCCAAATTTTTCTTGCTATGACGCTTGACGAACTTTTTGCCATTCAACAAATTCATCCAGAAGTACAGGCCCTGCAAAGGTATGAAACAGGTTATATTTAAAGGTATCTTTAATATGAAGGTGAATGTGTATAGTCAAATTCTTATGAAAACTCAAAAGATGACTATAGTCATTTCAAACCAGAGGTGGTAAAACACTACATGAATACACTTTGCACGGAACTATGAAGAAGAGTTCCTGACTCATTTGGCAGGTGAAGTGAACCACATAGAAAGCTTAACAATAAAGTTATATTGTAAGCTGGAGTAGGTAATTACTTCTTGCAAGAGCTTTAAAAAACTTCAATAATTAAGTACAAAAGAAGATCAGATGCCTAAAGCAATACAATTGTAATATAACTGACTATCAACCAAATACAGAGTTCAGACTCATGAATCATTTCGCAAGTAAGGTAGTTAACAAGCCTTTTTTATATATATTACTACAGAATGCTTGCTTGCAGCAAGCCTATGGTTTCACATAAAAAGTAGCTTCTTTTGACCCTCAATTGAATACAAGTTGGCAGAGGTATAATGTCACACTGCTGACACTACTGAAATTAGCCAACCACCTCCAAACAGCAGATGTTATCAGGAGAGCTCTTCTAAGCACTGCTGAAGAAATTCTACTGCTGTGGAGATTTAACATGCCCACATGCCATGAAAATACTGACGCAATAGTTGAGTAAGTAGAATGCTATGAATACTTACATGCACCATCTTCATCATAGTTACTAAGATCTGCATGGACAGTTCTGCTGAATTCTAACACATTGTACCACTGATCCTTGTTCATAACTCTATATTTCGATTGCTAGGAAAAATAATTTAAACACATTAAAATGTCAAAAGACATTTGAAAATTTCTGGTTTCTCTTGCATCATTGTGAGTCAGTTCCTAACAAAGAAATTAATGGATATCTGTCAGTTCCTAACAAAGAAATTAATGGATATCTGCTGTCTATTTCCTTGGTTTTCCAATTTTGAGACTATACAATATACATACACTTCTATAGCTCAGAAGCTGTTAAGCAGTTTCTTGGAAGAGAGTCAGAACAACATTAAAACACCAAGGGAATACAAGAGTCATCAGTTCTTGGAGCTTCAGAGCAGAAGTTTTCATCTTACTCTGAACTGCACCATGCTTAGCTCAGACACATTTCCAGCAGGATCAGTTACAGGACATTCTTCGCAGTACAATATAGTGTGATCACTGCTACACCACACTGGCTTGAAACCAGTGAAGAGTCTCTAGCCTGGCATATTAGCCAAAAAGATTTAAATGTTCTACAGAGAGTCAGAGCCCAAGATAGCTACATATTGTATCCACACACGTAGATCACATCTACCTCCCAAGGGAAGCACTGCAGCCACGCGGTGCTGCAGCAAGGGTTAGCGAGGCAGACAGAAGGATGTCAGCTGGCTCTTGAGTAATGCAGGTGTGTAAGCAAAGAGAAACACCAGCATGGTTTCCTCTTCATTGAGGATTCTGAAGAGTCACCTGAACACAGACTAGGGGCAAACTTGAAATTCAGTACAGATGTAGCTGAAGAAAGTACTGGGGCCCTATTATCTATTTGTAGGTTGACTTTTATAGCCTTGTAACGATGATATTTAAGCTGCCCTTCCTGACAGAAATCACAGCAGGAGGTTAGGGGAGGCAAAGAAGGATTTCTGTGACATACACAAGAATATTACTGTTTCATAAGCATGCAAACCAAGGCAAAAGGAGGAATATGGATAAATTCATGAGCAAAATACCATAAACCCTGATTTTTTTTCATAGAACAGGCCAGTATGTCACTGCTCAGAAAGTCCAAGAAACATGTACCTCCAGGTATTGGTAAAATACTGAAAACAGTGGCCAAGTTCTTCCAAGTAGAAGAGCTAACATGGATTTTGCAGTATCAATATCCAGACTTCGTTGGTCTTTATCCTAAGATTAAACATAAAGAAAGCATAAGCAACACTTCAGTGCAAGTTCACTGAGTAACTGGAAAAAAATTAAACCCTCTCCCCTCACACACAAAACACATGCACATGCTCTAATACTCCAGGAGTCTTACCCTTGCAAAATCAAAGGCATATCTGTAAATATTCTTAAAGGATGAAATGTCATTCAATTGTGACCGCAAGAAGTCAAATTTACTCTGTAATTTCTCTGTACAGTCACACCTTAAAATAAAGAAAAACAATGTTAGATGCTTAAAACAATTTTTACACAGCAAAGGCCGTCCTGAGAAATTTTAAAATAAAAGTCACCAAAGTGCCATTGCCAGATTTACAAAGGAATAGTACTGTGAGAGTGACTTAAAGAACACTGAACATGCTCAACATTTTCAATTTAATGAAGTGATGAATGTATGGATTCTATTAGCAATACTTTTTTAGTGTATCAGCTACACTATACAAAGACTCTGCTTTTACTTCTCAGGTAGGCTTTATATGCCATACTCAGCAATTTTTATTTATGTCTAGCAAGATGTTATCTTTAAAATATTCCATAAGTTTGAAGAAAACAGTATTCAATATGCATGAAGGTGACAAAAGTCATCTGCAAGGGCTCCATGTTATATTCCTTTGCACAAAAAAGAACCTTCATTACTGTAGATATTCCTGAGTTTTAGGGCTTAGCAGGTACTATGGAAAGCTTACTCAGATATGTGAGTGTTTGGACTAGTAGCTGGTCAGCTGAAAACTTACAGGTTGCACTGCAAATTTACAGGTCTGCTAGTCAATGGAATATCCTTCGGTAAGAAGAGACACAGCTTTTTAGATATTTCACTTTGGAGTTTTGATTCCAAATAGAAAATGGGTTGGTAAATCCAACAATCCAACAATCTCCAAATCTCCTGTCACAGGAGAACGTGACTGACACAATATTCCCCAGGAAAGACTTATTTGAAAGAATAGCTATATTTCAGTATGCTCTTCAGAAAACGGGTTGGATTTACCAACACTGTCACAGGAGAATGTGACTGACACAAAATTCCCCCAGGAAAGACTTATTTGAAGAATAGCTATATTTCAGTATGCTCTTTTAATATAAGGGTCGTTCTGAGTGAAAACAAAACACCCTGCACCCTCACACACCCCAAAACATTCCAGTTTCTCCTTCATCATCTCGTGTGGCAGCAGCAACACCCTGGGAAACATCGCCAAGGCGCACGCGGGTCCTTCCCTCGGCGGGCGCAGCAGCCGCCTCTCCGGGAGCGCGTTGGCATCTCTGTGTTTCACACCTGCTGTTGGGCTTGTCACAGAATTCCCAAGAAAAGGGCTTCAGAAGTACTGCAGCACGCACTGCTAAGATGCTGTACTTTCCCCACAGCCAGTATGTCTTATTCCTAGGTTTGCTAGAGGCCTCTCTGCCTCTGAACAGCTGTAACATTGGAAATGTAGCTTGCATACTGCAAAAACTGCTATGATGAATGTTAATTAGTTAATAGCTTTATTTATTAGGTTGCATACTTAAATGACAATCATATTTTATGGCATTCTGCGCAACAAGTTGAAAACAAACTTTGTTTTTCATGCTTTGGAGTATCTTACAGAATTTTTTTTTGCACCTTCAGCCCCATGATCGGCAGCTAGCAGTATACCTAACAGTATAATTAGATTGAATAATGAGATGCTTTTACAGCAAACATACTTCCTCTCTGTGTTCAAACCTTTGTAGTGCAATAACATCCTCCCCTACTCTTGGGGATGTCTGCCTATCAAGAACAAATTTAAATTCTTTTGCTGTTAGTATGCTGATGAATTACATAAACTACTTACATAAACTGAAGTGGGTTTACCACGCATTTTGTCAAATATGACCTGCGATTATTTAACATAGCATGAATATACACTCTTCCGTATATTTACATTTCCTACAAAATATTTTGTTAAATCCATGAATAATTATGAGTTTAAGTACACAGTAGAATTGCTACCAATGCCTATTATATTAATTGCTATATATATATATGTATATATACACATACACACATATATATATGCACATATGTATGCTATATTGCAATGCAATAGTCAGTATCTTAGCAGTGTAGGTATGAAAATATGTCAATTACCACATCTTAATATTTTTAACTGATTCCAATCTATTTAAGATTAATTAATCAGATCACATTCAAACACAGAAGCATCACGGAGGTCTGATGTAGAAATACAGAGGGTTACTTATATAAAACAAAGCCACTTAAGACATTCCCACATCAGGCAATGTATCTTCTCCTTTACACTAGTTGTGTTAAGGAGTTGTCAAATTTCTCCATTACAGAGATCTAGCTGTTTGTGTGGCTGCACTGTAAACAAGATGACTGAACTTATCCATACTTTGTTAGAGGGAAAAAAAAATCCAAGATTTCTTTTTCCTTCAAGCTAGGACACCTTTCTAATTGGGACATGTGAAATGACAGCAAACTGCTGTCTGTTCTAATTTCTACAGAAAGGTATGCAAGTAACAGAAATGAAAGGAAGAAACAGGATAACAGGCAGAAAGATTCAAGAGTGGAAAGGAAACAGCATTAGCTCATAATAATATTAAAAATATTAAAATAAATATTAAATATTTTAAAATATTTTAATTAGTAATAATTCTGCAAACAGTAGAAGTTACAGGATCTACTTTCCTGCACATTTCCTTTTGTATCTAAAGATACAATTGAGATCATGACATTGTGTCCCTCAGTCTAATTTGTCTCTCTCTGCTTTACCTGGCCAATCATTTTCAATCCGATTTTATATATAACAACTTTTAAAATCTCCTGTAAAATTTTCCTGTAAAATCTGGCTCAAATTCCAAAGTTCAAAACATAACTAGAGAGCCCAGGCACCAGTGTTATTAGATCACATTCATGAGAGGCAAAAGACACAGATTTTTAACTATCTGGGGCTTAAACAAATGCTCAGATCACAAATACGTTACACAAAAATGCACACCATTACCACTTTTTCAGGCTTAAACATATTTAGTCATAACATGACCAGCTCTATTTAAAAATAAAGGTTCCTAACCTTAGCAAACTATTGGACAGAAACAGTCTGTAGTGTTGGCTCTGAAAAAACTACCAGATTTCATACATCTCTGTGCTTAGTGTTTCCTAGGTCTTGAGAATTTCCACTTCAGCATAAAAAAGTTAAATGCTTCAGAGAAGTGAACCAACTAAACCCATTCACCGCATCTAGGAGTTTACACTCAAATTGATTCTACTCTGGGGCTGTGAATCTAGAATTTAATCCCTTAAGTCCTGAACTTTTAGCAATTGAATTTTTCTAGCACTCAACAAGTTAAAAAACTTTAGAAAGTCACAAAAACAACTTAGGCCCCCATTAGAAGCCTACTCCCAAATCAAACAGGATCTGCATAAAAGAGTCAGACTAGACTCACTTGCTTAGTAGAATCATGAAATCTTTGTGGTTGGAAAGACCTTTAAGATCCAATTGTAAATCCAACTAAGATCCAGCTAAAGCCCAACTGTAAACCCTTAAACACCATGCCTACTATACCATGTCCCCAAGTGCCATAGTGATAGAAAATATTAAAATAGTCATGTTATGTTGACGTACCATGAAAAGTTTGATGAGATAAATATAAATTTAAAATTTAATGAAGCCTCAGCAAAAGCTAATTAAGAGCTTTGTTAAAGAAACATCTTCTACCTAAAATGCTATCCCAACAGAAATTCCTACAAACAGCAGGATATGAAAGTGCCATAAAGTAATTTACAGATAAAAAAAAAAAAAAGCTTTATTTGACCTGAACACTTATGTGTTGCTACTAACCAACATCTAAAAAATAACAGCAATAAGAGACACCAATCCTCATCTATGAAATAACAAAATAACCATCGCATTTTAGAATACTAATTCTAAGATATGCTCATGGGTATCTACACATCTACTTATTTGCATTCACTAACTGGAGCGACATTTTAAAACACATTTTCTAAGAAAACAATCTCTAAACCAAATTTATTCGGGTTTATTCGGGTTAACCATTTAGCAAATTCATCACACTGATAACTTGATCAAAAGCAGTGGCTACTTCCAGTTGGTGATTGAGACCATACTTAAAGACGAGAGCTTCTGTATCTTATTACCAACCCACAAGCAGAGGAGAGCAAAGTACAAATTTGAACATTTCATTATATATGTAAGATACACTTACTGTAATGAGGTCATCCCCTTTAACCATTCTTCCTTGGTAAAAAATCCCATGCTTTCAGCCTCTAGCTTCCAGGCTAAAACTAACATAATAATCTATGGAGAAAAAAAGAAAAGTGTGCAGGGGTGGGGAGGAAGGAAGGAGGAAAAAAAGTCAGTATGTAATAAAAAACTAAACTGATATGAAAGGTTGATTTCTAGATGTCCATTATTAATTGATATCTTCAATATATAACTTATAATTTAACTATATGCCATTTTCCTCTTAAGTGTCTGAACGTGTAGTATCACTAAGTGATAAGAAAAACATAAATTTATGTCCAGCTAAAATCTTGCCAAAGCTCCGAGAAGCAGGAAAAATACAATTCTTTGCTTACTGAAGTTAGAGTCTTACACGAACCAAACCTAATCCAATAACCCCTGCAAGAAACCTACATTTTCAGGCTCAACACCAATGTCTTCACAGAACTTTTCCATTCCTTCTGGCCCCACAACTTCATCAGGACCTTCAAAAACAAAAAGGAACCAGATGGAAATGTAGGTAATATCTGAATTCTGTGCAAGGGTTATATCCAAGCATAAAAGACAGATTTTATACCATCTGTTTTTAAAAGTAACCCCACTGAATTATGCTGAATTAAAGTAGTAAGCAGGCTTTCTGCTAGAACACAACCAACATAGCAATTGCAACGTGAAAGCATCTACACTGTATATGAAAGAGCGCTATGAACTAAAAGCAAAACTAAAACCAAACTTTGATGCTATGAGTGGTCCTCACAACAGCTTATAGACTTAATATGCTTAACTGAGCCATAATAAACCTGCAGTGAACATTATTGTCATAGCTAAATTACTGTAACTGTGGCAGTGTAAATCAGCTTTAAGATGACTTAAGTAACTCTGAAATTGCTATATGTGCAGTGTCTTTCAGATAGATAGCTTTTAATTAAATTGGCTTAAAAAAACACTACCTGTGCTAGTGCTATGGATATCTTTAAATGCTAAGATTATGAGTTATTATGAGTTAGCACTAAAATGGTGGACATTAACTCTTCAAATAATATATTTTTTGTATTAATATTTTCCCAATTACTTTGCATGATAAAGAAAAATCTTCCATGTGTCAAGCACATTAAACACATACAAAACAAAGGTTTATGCAGATAACTCGGATTAGATCCATAGTAGTTAGTGTTGTGCTGTCGCTTCTCCATTTTAGTACAAATATGTCCTCCAAAAAACAGCACAACTATCATACCTAAAGAGAGCACACAGACATTCTGCAGTTCATCCATCGAATTGTTGCTGTGAATTTCTCCCTAGCCTCAAGGATGCCAATTCCCTGTCTTCAAAATTAAACCCACTCTGCAAATGACTCCTACTGGGCCATCAAATATTATTAGAATGCCTGATGATGTGCTATTTCAATGCATCTTGGATAAAGATGTTAACATGATCACCTGTGTAAAAGGTAAAGGCTGTATTTTTTGAACTAACATGCTAGCTTATTTTTTGGCAAATTCTGCTAGTTGTATACAAACAATCAGCTGCTTGATAAATTCTATAAAACATTTATTATATTTATAGACACTATTCATTACTTCAGTAGCAACTTATTTAAAGGACACTACTTAAAACACTTTTGAATGAAACACTGATATTCGGTATATGGAAAAAAGTTGGGACAGATTCTTATATAGCAAAATATTCTAAGTATCTACTAGCGTTTTGCCACGGCGGGGGGGGCGGGGGAAGTGCTTGAATCATGAATTACTTCATTATCCTTCCTGTTTTATTATAAACAAAATATTTAGATTGAGTAAATAAACTACTATAAAATCTATCTTTCCTTCCACCAATTTATTCGGTTATTTTCCTCAAAAAAAAGCATAACTCTTCATCTTGTTTAAGCATTGCTTGTTATTTTAAAGAAAACACACTAAATTATAAAGCACAATGTACAAAAGTATGCAAAAAACAGAAGTTATTAGTAAAAGCTATCCAAATTCTACAGCATGTTATGCTGATGTGAATATAGATGTATTTATTATGCCTACAATAACATGAAAAAGTCAAATGCAAATAATGTTTGATTTGGAAAACAAACAAACAACAAAAAGCTATGTAATTTTAAATATGAGTGCATTACATATTACCTGCATATTCGTAAAACCAAGCTAGGCACTTCTTGCTTGAAAAATGTTCCTCTCCAGTTATTACTTTACCAGAGGCTTGCGATCTGCAATAGCTTGTAGAAACACAAGGATAATCAAAGTGTTATTTTGCATATGAAAAATGGGAACTAAGATAATTTAGTTTGAACTAGTAATAAACCATTTGGATTACAACTCTATATAAACTGCCAACACACAAACAATGAAGCTGAAATTGTGAAGGGGCAACTGCCGGTCATAATACTTCAACACTTGTCTGTGTAATAGAAATTAGTTTGGAATACAACCTTTTCATGATCTAATTTATTGCAAATGCTACTTTTTTTTTTGAAATGCAGAAGTACTCTTACATTGTAGGTATGGGAAAAATGCATAGACAGATGGTCAAAATATTGCTACACAGTAATTCATGTGCTTGCTTATCTACTTATATTTTACATGTACAGGCATTTGTTAGGTGTCTAATAAGCAGCCTGATCTTCAAGAGTGCTGAACACACACAAATTCCATTTAGGTCAACAGAAGCTGCAGAGCTTGACATATTTGAAAGCCAGGCTATTTATATTTAAGCATCCAAATTTTGGATGAAAACTTAATCAATACATTTACATTAAACAGCTACATCTCTAAATGCTGTAGATGTTTAGGGAGGGGCAGCCTATGCACAAGATTCAAGCAGCAAATCTGCAATCTGTGAAAGATACAAACTGCTCAGCACACACAGCCTCCTCCTATAGAGCTCACTATGAGACATACAACCCAGTTTGCCTAGGAAGTGAATTTATATAATTTACCATTCTTTGATAGAATACAGAAAATTGGTGTTTTCAACTTGAAGAAAACAGCCATCACATGAAAACATTTCTCACCAATAGGGAATTACAGCACCTTCACAACACACACTCCTCAAACGTAAACAACATTTTAAGGACATGCTAAGATTATTTCCAAGAATGAGGTGAAAGTTGACTGTGTGAGAGGATTTACAATTATCCAGCTCCTACATAGCAATTCCAAAAGGAAAATGTAGAACAGGAAAAGAATGGTTCAGTTCTGAGAGATTCTGAACAAATTATGCAATGCATTGCTTTAAGCTTCGCTTGAAGCAGGGAAAGCAACAGCTCTTCAGGCGAAGTATTATGCGATGAAAACTGTAAAGACAGATGTACAGCAATGAAACATCTACTAAATTAACACTGAAATCACAAGTCATCAAGAACCAGCACAGCCCTGCAGTATGCTGTTGTTTGCTGTTTTTTATCTAGTTCAACAGCTGTAACCACTGGTCTTATTAAAGAATATGAGTATTCTTAATATAAGGCTCATATCATTAACATTTTGTGATTAGAAACTATGAATTTCTATTTATGCCAAAGTTTTTGCCCAATGACTTCTAGTTTCCTGTAGAGCCTTTTCTTTTTTTCTTTTTCTTCTTTTAATGCAACTTTCAAAAAGGTTTTGAAAAGTCAGAAGAAATCAAGATGACTGAATTTTGGAAACCAGTGGTCAAGAAAGATGAAGTGAAACTGCACAGCTGCAGACAAGGGTTATTACAAGCAGGGAAACTGGAAGCCCATCTTTCAGTCTAGGAACCAGATGAATTTCGTATGTTCAAGTTCACAAAATACAACATGCAAAGCGAAGTAAGTTCTCACTTACGATATACCCCATAGGTCTGCTGCATAGTCAGTGTAAGTGCCATATAAGGCATATAAAGGATAGTGCTGGCACAAGAACGGGTATTAAACTGGCTTATGCCTGGTTACACTGAAATTAGGAGACCCCCACGCGGTGCATGAGGCAGCCCTAGGACAGGCAGGACAAACCGAGCGCCCGGGGAGCTCCTCGCCTCGCCCCCGGCCCCGCTGCGAGGCGGCCGCGGGGCAGAGCTCCTGGCGGGGCCTCCCCTGCAGCCAGGGCCCTCCCTCGCCCACGTCCTTCGGGCGGCGGCCGGGCAGCCCGCACTGCCCCCGGGGCGCACGCGG